TGCGGTTGATTCTCCATTCTTTTTAGCCATCGTTCTTGTCAAAAACCAGCCATTTCCCCAGAGTTTTCGGTGGTTTTCCAGACAGAAGGATCCCTGGAAAGAAGGGAAATGGAATCTAGCCCTGAAAAAAGGTCCGATTTGACACACACCCATGTTGACTTCTTCTCTCAAAAGCCATGGCTGAAACCTCTGGGCCAGAAACCTCACGAAACACAATGCGCATGTCTGGAAATGGGTACCAAACAAATTGCGGTCTCCCTTTGGTCAACAAACCAGGTACCCTCCAAACAGCGCAAGCCCAAATGAAAGGTAAACAAAAAACACAAGACACTTGTTTGCCCAGTTTTGGGACATAATTTGAATCCTTGGTCACCACGCATGCAGCAGGTTCCAACGCTATCCGGCAAACATGTGAGCGCCATTTATGACCAAAGGTGAACATTGAAAGCAGTAAAGAGGAAGCACATGTAAAAATACATGTGTGTATATGTATATATATATATATAAATACACTTATATATCCGGCCGTCACAAGTATATATAAATATATATATATATATATATATTTGGTTGCTGTCCAATTTGGAAAACCCACAAACAGTTAAAGTCCCAATATGCGTTACCAAATAGCCATAAAAGACGTGTGACTATCTGCAAGGTGTCCATTTGGTTTCCCTTTAAACCCCAGACAAGGGACCCACCCAATCTCTCTCTCTCTCTCTCTATATATATTATGTATAAATATATGGATATATTTGTATATGTATATACATACATTCATGTACACATACATATATATATACATATATATATATATATATATGGTCGCCCCCCTATATACGAACCTCCTATTCTTCGGAGTTCCAGCGCCCTTTCCCCCTGCCCCGCTTTCGACTTCTCCCGCGATCGACCGTCGACCGTCGCCTTCTCCAAGCGCAGGCTGCTGAGGCCTTCCACCAGCTGGGCGCGGTTCAGGCCCAGCTGCTGCAGCACCTGACGCTCCAAAAGTCGCGTTGTCGGTGAGGCCTGGGTTTGGACTCCCCAAAGGGCGGAAAAACGCGGGTTGTACTGTTGTGTTGTTTCCTTTTGCTTCCGCTGTGCTGAAACCACGAAAAGTGGGGTACTGAGGTTTTGCTTGTGGATTTCTATTACCACAAAAACCGAGGGGTACCCGCAAACATCACAAGTACACGGACCTTGGGTTTGTTTGTTCGAGTCTGGCTACCCTTTTCCAGTAGAAATGAAGGGTTCAAAAATGGGTGTGCGCTTTCTGCTTCTTTATGTTATTCCTCTCTCTCTTAGTTTTAGTTTTTTTTTTTGGGGGGGGGCACTCTTTTTGAGGTTGGTTTGAAGGGCAACTCAAGGGGTTGCCTAGACACATATCCAAATAGACTGGGGTTCGGGATAGCTTAAAACCCGCAAACGGGCATCTGTCAGCGGGAGTCCGGGCCCAATCCACATGGAAAGTACCGAGGCCCAAACTGCCCATCCATTTCTACAGCTTGCCCACAACTGCTTCAATCCGGGTCAACAAGCAGATTTGCTCCTTAAGGGTTGGCTTTTGGCTACAACTGTAACTCAAACCCAAGAACAGCTCGGTCAAGCAGATTTGCTCCAAGAAGAAACTCTAAGATCTCCCGCACCCAACGCCCTGTTTTGAGAATCATGATTTGGGCGCAACCCTTTTCCAACATCGTCGATTGGCAAGTGCGGCAATCTTCCTTCCGCACATTCTGCACTCTACGACAACCCGCTGGAAAAAAGAACTCTCGGATTCACCAAAGAGCAAACACAATTTGCATTGGCAACCAAGTCGTTCGTTCCAACCACCAACAGTTGGATTTGGGGAACCCCCCAATGGTTGGGTTCCTGTTGTTTGCGTTCCACACAACCCCAAGGAAATCCGAAAGATCGATGTCTACGTCCGGCAACAAACAAACACCAACCGATTTCCACCTGTGTTTTCTTGCTTCGCCTATAACTCCTTTCGGCAAAACCAAACACCGACCAACACCAACCAACGCAGCCACCTCAACACCAAGAAAGACAACTTGCGTCCGGCTTGTTCATTCGCACACAAAATCAACGTCCGGCCGCTATGCCTTTTCCCTTCTTCGCGTCCCCCAAACAAAAACAACTAACATGACACTTGAATTTGGTGAGTGCGACCCATGTCGTCCTTTCAGTACACACTGACGATACATATTTTCTCGTTAGTGTCCGGCCTGCCTGGTTGGTGTCCCTTACTCATGGAAAGGGGGTCCATGTTTGTCACGTTGGGAAAGCCCACAAAACTCTATCAGCATCTCAACCTTTAGGGTATCGTTTCAAGGGAAACCAAAAGGCACACCGCTCATTTTGGGGGGCCCCGGAGATAAACACACATATGCATGTGGCTTTTTGGAGGGTACCCCCCTTTTCGTGGGGTGTTTGACTTGGGATTTCCAAGAGAAACAACACCCCTCGTTTTGGAGGGTCCCCCCCCCCAAACAAAAAATGAGACGCCCTTTTTTTGCTGTGGTTGCAAAGGGAAACCAAGAGGAAAACCACAGCATTTTGGAGGGTCCCCCCCCCCCAAAAAAAAAAGACGCAAGCCATATGCTTGGCCTTTCTCGCAGAATGGTTGGCCCCCCTCCAAACTGGGGTGCCCTTGACCCTCCGAACTGTGGTGCCCCCAAAAAAGCACAACAGGAAAGCGGTTTCCCTTTTGGTGGCTCCTTTCAACCGACAAAAAACAAGAGAGACCACATGTTACTTTCAACCGCCAAAAAAAAACAAGAGAGCAGACATGTCACTTTCAACCGACCAAAAAACAACCACAGAGACCACATGCTCCTTTCAAAAAAAAAAGACGTCCCTTTTCAACCGACCCAAAAATCCACCACCAGAGAGACCCCCCGCTTTTTTTGGTCTCCCCCGCGCGCACGCTCGGCCCTCGGCTTCTCGGGCGCGCTCGCTCGCGCGCATCGGTGGCCTGGCGCCGCACCGTGGCGATCCAGTCCTCCAGGCCCCCGCAGCGCTGCTCCACCGCGCTGAGCAGCTCCGAGGCCTTCGTCTTCACCTCCCCGGGCGAGACGACGCGGGAGGAGCGTCGGAGAGGAGGCGAGGCGAAACCTGGGGGAGGGGGGGAGGGGGTAAACCGGGGGAGGGGGGGGGATAAGAGTCACTTGCTCCAAACCGATTCGGCTTTAAAATGGTCATGTCTACCCAGAACCATGCTTCCAGAATTAAGAAGGCGGAATTCCGCAACTGTTTCTGGCTGGGACTGGCCCTAACCTTCATCTACCCAGGCTTTGATTGTGGCTCATAAGAGGAGGCGAGGCGAAACCGGGGGGGGGGGGGCTTGAAACCGGGGGAAAGCGCGGTGGAAACAACCCGGTGGGGGGTAGAAGGCTGCCTGAAAGCTAGGAGCTAGGGGAGAAAAGGGGAGATTGCCTTGAGATGCGGGGGAAAAATCCAAGCTTGATAGGGTAGTTTGAGGGTCCAGGTAACCTAATACAACACTGTGGATGGACAAAATCCATGAATCGAATGATGAAGTGAATCCATGGGAGAAACAATAACGTTTGTTCGTTCGGGGAAATCATCAGAAACCAGGGTTTCTGAAAGGTGGTGCGCAATAAATTTTGTTCATCCGGCAATGTCTGTAGAAAATCCACCAAAAACAAGGATGTTTGTAGAATTTCCTGCTGGTTTCTTTGATAGGCTTCCCCCAGTGTTCCCCAAAACCCATATAGATTTGCTTCCACTTTCGTTGACCATTCAATAGTACCCTCTGACAAAGCAAAAAACACACCCACATGGGTTTGTCAGGCAAAGCCAACCACAAACTCCATTTGCTTATGATAGATTCCCTTTAAAACCAACAGGGGAAAGAACAGTATTCTCAATATGGAAGACAATGGGTGGACCCAAATGGGGTCCTTTGGTTTGCCTTCAAATGGACAGTGGGGTGCAGACATAGGACGCCTGTACGCAGCCGGGGCAAAAGGTCAGCGCGTGGTTTTTCGACATCCACAAGTCTGTAACGCTTTCGCAGGGGGCAAAGGTCGTTTCCACAGTCGAACAGATCCGAGCCTCCGGAAAATAGTCTTGATGGTGGGTGAACGGTGAAATGAATGAACGCACAACAGGGCAAAAGGGCAAAAAGTGGAGTGGCATGATATCTCGAAAAAATGGACCGCCCCCCAGTTGCAACGAGTGACCCAATGGAACGCTTTTGGGTTGCTTGACCATTTCTGGTGGGTTCCGAACCCAAACAAAGAACAAAATGAAAAGGGGCCTACTAAACAGCTGGGGCCTATGGCCAGGCGTCTTCCCAGAGGCATAGGCAAACGGCCAACCCATCTTTAAAAGGCGCAACAAAATTGAGAGAGCCTCACAAGTCTAGATACGGTCCCTTTATTTCCCTATCAACTTCCCCTGAGTTCCCCCCCTAAGGGGAGACAGTTGGACACACCTTTCGTGCCCAATTCAAAAAGGAATCAATGTGATACCAATCATTTGAATGTGGCACCGGTTATTTTTTTTCACCGGCTTTTGTCCTCGACTTTGATTACATGACCGATTCAACAGGGATTCTGGAAAACCGCATTAGCCAACCCTCTATCTTAAGCCCAGCGAACTCGCCATCCCCGGGCTTGGCAACCTGACGTTTGAATTTAAAGGGGCCGCAAACAGCTTGATGTTGACCCCCCCATTTCTCGACCCCGGGTTTATTCACAGGGGTGGTGTCTCACCAAGCCCAGAGACGCCCCCCTATGAAAAAACTGAGGTTGCTTCATATGGGGTCAATATTAAAGTGTAGCTTGCATTTCAGGTCTGCATGTTGACGTCACGTCCAAAGATCTCCCAGAAAAAAGGCCGCAGAGCGGCCAAGAGGTGCTGCTGCGCTGGAAGCATGATCAGTGACTTTGGAGCGCCCTAAATTGTGAAAAAAGCACGTGGAACGGCGGAACAAAGCACCTCAAAGCAAATTTGGTCCCCTGATACTATATACCCTTCACTTCGTCCTTGGCAATTGCTTTCGCGCAGCTTACAATCATTCTGCTCCGTGCACAGGTTTTTGATGGGCGTTGGCACATTGCCAATTGCCCAAAGACAAATGTTGGTTGTGAGCTTGGTTCCCACACCTGCTCGAGCACTTTGTGCTTGATGCCTAAGTCGAATTAGTCCACCTCCTCAACAGTTGGGCCGCTGTTGCCGCCAGGGGCGCCGCCCATGCCACCGCCTGGCATGCCACCTTCCGGCATGCCACCGCCGCCAGCAGCCTGGTACACCTTCATCATGATGGGGTTCACAACGCCCTCCAACTCCTTCTGCTTGGCCTCAAACTCGTCCTTCTCAGCCAACTGGTTCTTGTCCAGCCAGTCCAGCGTCTCTTGCACCGCAGACTCGATCTTCTCCTTATCACCACCCTCGAACTTGTCCTTCAGCTTCTCCTCGTTCAAGGTGTTGCGCATGGTAAAGCAGTAATTCTCCAAGCCGTTCTTGGCCTCGATCTTCTGCTTGTTGGCCTGAGAAGTTAATTCATCAAACACCTTTAAGTAACAAACGCATCACGGTTCGTTCATGCGACAATATTATCAAACATGATAAGCATTGGTACTCGTGTATCCAACTGCCGAGCAAACATGACAGACATGGGTAAGCTTGCTAGCAACACACAAGCCCAAATAGCTCAGTCTGTAGCCCAAACATGGCCTCATCCTCGGCACGGAACTTCTCTGCCTCTTGCACCATACGATCGATCTCCGACTGCGACAGTCGGCCCTTCTCGTTGGTGATGGTGATCTGGTTGGACTTTCCAGTGGACTTGTCGGAGGCGCTCACGTTCAAGATTCCGTTGGCATCGATGTCATAGGTCACCTCAATCTGCGGCACACCCCGGGGAGCCGGAGGAATGCCATCAAGGTGGAACTTGCCCAGCAGATTGTTGTCCTTGGTCATGGCGCGCTCACCCTCGAAGACCTGGATCAAGACACCCGGCTGGTTGTCCGCATAGGTCGTGAAGGTCTGAGCTTTCTTGGTCGGGATAGTTGTGTTGCGCTCAATCAACTTGGTCATCACACCACCTGCAGTCTCCAAGCCCATGGAGAGCGGCGTCACATCCAAAAGCAGGAGATCCTGCACTTGGGATGAGCCCTCGCCAGTCAGGATAGCTGCCTGCACCGCCGCACCATATGCCACAGCCTCGTCTGGGTTGATGGACCTGTTCGGCTCCTTGCCGTTGAAGAACTCCTGGATCATGGACTGCACCTTGGGGATGCGCGTGGAGCCACCCACCAGCACGACGTCGTGCACGCTCTTCTTGTCGATGCCTGAGTCCTTGAGGCACTTCTCCACAGGGCCCATGGAGTTGCGGAAGTAGTCCATGCACAGCTCCTCAAAGCGTGCCCGAGACAAGGAGCAGCTGTAGTCAATGCCCTCAAAGAGGGAGTCAATCTCAATGGTAGCCTGCGTGGAGGAGGACAGGGTCCTCTTGGCACGCTCACACTGCGTGCGCAGTCGGCGGATGGCTCGCTGGTTTCCCGCCAAGTCCTTTCCACGGTTCTTGCGCTTGAAGTCCTGCATGCAGAAGTCCACCACGCGATTGTCAAAATCCTCACCTCCCAAGTGAGTGTCTCCTGCAGTGGCCTTGACCTCAAAGATGCCATCCTCAATGGTCAGCAGCGACACATCGAAGGTGCCGCCACCCATGTCGTAGATGAGCACGTTCCTCTCACCAGTGCCCTTCTTGTCCAGGCCATATGCAATGGCTGCGGCAGTGGGCTCGTTGATGATGCGCAGCACATTCATGCCGGAAATCGTTCCCGCATCCTTGGTGGCTTGGCGCTGAGAATCGTTGAAGTAGGCCGGCACCGTGACAACTGCATCATTCACCTTGGTGCCCAAGTAGGCCTCGGCTGTCTCCTTCATCTTCAGCAGAATCATGGAGGAGATTTCCTCTGGATGGTACCTGAGTCGATTGTAGGGTGATGGGCTCACCCCTACACGGAGCGTGCCCGAAAAACACCTCCAAATCACCTCCAGCCTCGGATCCAACCAAAACTACAAAGAATACGTATATATATATATATATATGGTACAGCGTTGCCAGCCCCCCCCAATGGTCATGTGGTTGGGTTGTGGTGGTTTAGGGTTGGTTTAGGGTTGGTTTAGAATTAGTTTAGGGTGTATTTGGGGTTAGTTTAGGGTTGGTTTAGGGTTGGTTTATGTTGATTTAGGGTTGGTTTAGGGTGGTTTAGGTTTAGAGGTGTACGGTTTGGGGTTTGGTTTAGGGTGTATTTAGGGTTGGTTTAGGGTGTATTTAGGCTTGGTTTCGGGTTGGTTTAGGTTTAGGGCTTATTGTTTAGGGATTGGTTTAGGGTGTATTTAGGGTGTATTTAGGGTGTATTTAGGGTTTGTTTAGGGTTGGTTTATGTTGATTTAGGGTTGGTTTAGGTTTAGAGGTTTACGGTTTAAGGTTTGGTTTAGGGTTTGGTTTAGGGTGTATTTAGGGTTAGTTTAGGGTTAGTTTAGGGTTAGTTTAGGTTTGGTTTATGGTTGGTTGCGGGTTGGCTTGTCCTGGGGATAGGGTGCCGGGGTGTCGGGGTGCGAGTTTAGGGGATTGGGGTGAGGGTGGGACCGTAGGTGCCAGGATCCGGGGGCTCGGGGTCTCGGGTTGGGGGGGTCTGGGGGACCCATACCATCTGGGGGGGGGGGGGGGGTAGCAACACGGAACACGGGACCATATATATATGTATATATACAATATATTATAATACTATATATATATGAATGTGCCAATCATCAATGAACAAATCCCGATAATGCAAGTTCCTAAGGTCCCAAACGACAACTAATATCTGTTCTTCTTCATGTCAGGGAACTTCTTCTCCTCGCCTTCCACCTTCACCACAATGATCGGCTTGTCGCCCTGACCTGCAATGCACTTGAATGGCCACAACTTGATGTCGGCCTGCACGATAGGATCAGCAAACTTGCGGCCAATCAATCGTTTGGCATCAAAGACTGTGTTCTCAGGATTTCGAGCCACCTGATTCTTCGCTGCGTCCCCGATCAGCCGCTCAGTATCGGTGAAGGCAACGTAGGATGGAGTGGTTCGGTTGCCCTGGTCATTGGCAATGATCTCCACTCCGTCGTTCTTCCAAACACCCACGCAAGAATATGTTGTGCCGAGGTCAATCCCAATGGCGGTCTTCTTGGCCATGATGAATTGCGAAATATCAAAGGGCTAAATGGGCAAGCACTAATGACAATAATGGATTTGCCTGAGCCACAGATCACATCAATGTAGTGGTGTGATGGTTGTAGTTTGTGCCCTTTATTTTGGTGGAAACAGCCATGTTTCAAATGGGCAATATGTATCTTTTAAGGAGCCCTAAAGAAAGAAGTCCTCAAAGTCAGCCCCTTGTTGGGACTGAGCAAACCTGTTTCAACTGGTTACATTCGGTCCATGGTGAGATGGTCATCAGCAACACGACTTCCATGAACATCGGTCACTAGGAAGCCCTCGTTGGTAGCCAAGTGCCCCCTGCCAATCAACCCCACCTTCTTGTCGGTCGCGAGGCGCGTGAGGAAGCGCTTGCTGCGCTGCTGCATGGCGTCCAGTTGCGGCGTGATAGCCGTTTCCTGGCGAATCCGCTGTGGTAAAATGGAAGTGCAGCACATGGACCTTGAAGGACAAGCAAGAAAAACACTTGAACTTGTTTCTTGAAAGTACACAAAAATGAGTTGTCCCCCACCAATGCATGGCATTGGACAAGTTTCAAGCCAGTCGTGAAAGCCAAACCAAGGGCTGGTCCGTACAGGTGGGGGAGCGTCACAATATCCAGGGCCCCCCAGCGAATTCACAAGGAAACCAAACCGTCTGCAGAGCACTCTTGACACTTTTCCAGGTTATTTACTTCTGTGTTGCTGGTTCCCTGTTCAAACTATGCCTTTGCATGTTGGGGCAAACTAGTTCTGAGGGGTCTCGGGGTTAAATCACTCAACCCCCTGTTAAAGCGGAGGTGCCAAAAAACATGTTAACAGCAAACTGGACCATTGAACCCCCCCTGTTCGCCCCACCCACCCAACCCACGCCCCCCCCCAACCCCCCACACACGTCTTGCTTGAACCCCAAAAAGAACTGCGGCCAAGGATTTTGCAGCCTTTTTTTTCAGGAAAACAATCTGTAAGCTAATGACTCTGGACTTCTTCAAGGCTCAGTAACGCAACGATCAATCACGATATTTGGGGGATTCCAGCCACGCACAACACACCGAGTCTTCCTCTCTGAAAGGATCCCACCCGCCCCCACCCCACCCACCCACCCCCACCCCCCAAGCCCACCCAAGCCCACCCACCCACACGTTGGCCATCGAGTTTGTCTCACCTGCAGCTCTGCAAGCTGCACGCTCAGCCTTCTGCGGCCCTCCAGCAGCACGCTGCCCGCCTGGCGAACATCGCTCGGCAGGACGCGAACATCGAGCGCCGCACCTGTGAAGCTGTGAAGCACCCCACGCCATCCACCCAAAAGCCGGCCCGTTTGGGGGAAACCCAATGCGAGTCTTGGGGCGCGTGAAAACAAAACCTAGACCACGGTTGGCCCGAAAGCATCACAGCCCCGTGACATTTCTGCGCAAGTTGCTCTGGGCAAGGTGCTTTGCGCAAACTGGTCTGTGCAAGTTGCTCTGCGCAAGTTGCTCTGCGCAAGTTGCTCTGTGCAAGTTGCTCCGTGCAAGTTGCTCCGTGCAAGTTGCTCCCTGCAAGTTGTTCTGTGCACGCTGCTCTGTGCAAGTTGCTCTGTGCAAGTTGCTCTGCGCAAGTTGCTCTGCGCAAGTTGCTTTGTGCAAGCTGCTCTGCGCAAGAAGCTCTGTGCAACTGACTCTGTGCAAATGTCTCTGTGCAAGTTGCTCTGCGCAAGTTGCTCTGCGCAAGTTGCTCTGCGCAAGTTGCTCTGCGCAAGTTGCTCTGCGCAAGTTGCTCTGTCAAAGTTGCTCTGCGCAAATTGCTCTGTTGCAAGCTGCTCTGTGCAAGTTACTCTGCGCAAGTTGCTCTGCGCAAGTTGCTTTGTGCAAGTTGCTCTGTGCAAGACGCTCTGTGCAACTGACTCTGTGCAAATGTCTCTGTGCAAGTTGCTCTGTGCAAGTTGTTCTGTGCAAGTGCTCTGCGCATGTTGCTCTGCGCAAGTTGCTCTGCGCAAGTTGCTCTGTCAAAGTTGCTCTGCGCAAATTGCTCAGTGCAAGCTGCTCTGTGCAAGTTGCTCTGCGCAAGTTGCTCTGCACAAGTTGCTTTGTGCAAGTTGCTCTGTGCAAGAAGCTCTGCGCAACTGACTCTGTGCAAATGTCTCTGTACAAGTTGCTCTGTGCAAGTTGTTCTGTGCAAATTGCTCTGCGCAAGTTGCTCCGTGCATCGAAGCCGCGACCCGCCGGTCCCGGGAGCAGGCGCGCGAACCACGAGACAACTCCCGAGGACCAGCTCGAACAACAAAAGTCGCAAAAAACCTCGAGTTTTTGCACCTCGAACACGCCGATCCCTGCAGAGGGTCGCGCGAGCCAAATTTTGCACCTCGACCACGCCGATCCCCGCAGAGGGTCGCGGGCCCAAACAAAATCGCGAAAAAACCTAGAGTTTTTGCACCTCGACCACGCCGATCCCCGCAGAGCGTCGCGCGGGCCAAAACAAAATCGCAAAAAACCACGAGGTTTTGCACCTCGACCACGCCAATCCCCGCAGAGCGTCGCGCGGGCCAAAACAAAATCGCAAAAAACCACGAGGTTTTGCACCTCGACCACGCCAATCCCCGCAGAGGGTCGATTTTCGTAGAGTGTCGTCGGCACTACCCCGCCGCCCTAAGAAGAGATTTTAACTCCTCGCGAGTCAAATTGCACTTGACTCCTTGCACTTGCAACTTGCACTTGACTCCCTGCACTTGCAACTTGCACTTGACTCAATGCAATTGCAACTTGCACTTGACTCCATGCAATTGCAACTTGCACTTGACTCCATGCACTTGCAACTTGCACTTAACTCCTTGCACTTGCAACTTGCACTTGACTCCATGCACTTGGCTCCTTGAAACTTGCAATGGCTCTCATGACTCCTTGCAATGACTCCTTGCAATGACTCTTTGCAATGACTCCTTGCAATGACTCCTTGCAATGACTCCTTGCAATGACTCCTTGCAATGACTTTCATGATGATGATTCCTTGCAATGACACCTTGTAATGACTCTCACGAAAACAACTCAAGTTCTAAAGTTTTTTACTTGGGCCCTTGTTATGGGCCGCTAATGGCTGAAAAATACATACACTATATATACCCCTTATGTATTGGGTACGTAGCACAAGGACCAGGTGGCTGGATGTGTGCGTTTCTCAGCTGCTGCCTCTGGAGTAGCAATCTTTGACGACAGCAATCTTGAAAGGTTCCAACTCCATTGGGACTCTTCGTGCCAAGCCCCCAAACCCCGGTCCCAAAAATAGGGGCCCATTCAGGAAACCCACTGGCACAGACAGTTTCCTGAATGGGCCCCTATTTTGGGAACTCAGATGTTTGGGTCCTTGGTTGCCCTTTTGCTGAAATCAAACTTGCAGATTTGCGTTCGTTGGAACTATCGTCTCTCTCGCCAGCAAACCACAAAAATAATGGCCCATAACAGTGGCCCATGTAAAATTCTTTAGACAAGTGAACCCAGCGGAAGAACCCTTCGCCATGCTTTCAGGGAAAAAAACGAAAAGCTGCAAAATACTGTGGATCGCTGCGACGTCCAGATAATTCGCGCGACGTTGAACATCATGGGTGTTGGATGGTGCAGGATTTCGTCCACAGCGTTGGACCTAACACCATGGAATGTGAGTTGGAACGGCCACCCAGCCCTTCTACCTGAAACATGTTCTCCCTTCAGATCGATCGCTTGGATGCGATGCAACTCATCCGGCACCTCTGAACCAATCTGTGATCCTCCGACCGATTGCAAGCATGCCACGGGCAACTAGCATGCCATTTTTTTTGTTCGTAAAGGTTGGATACCATGGTTGCAACTCACTTACCATGGCTACAAGTTTTTGGGGTTCGGTAGAGTACTAACCACTACCCTGCCCTTCAAGTGAACTGTCCTTGTCATACTGTGGATGAAAGAAACTCTGCACCACCCAAGAATTCCTGGAATGATGATGCCGGTGTAATAACCATCCAATGGCTTCCCATGGATTCAAAGTGGTGCAGGATTCCGCAAGGCCCGTTAGGCCCTCTGTATAGTGGAGATCCCTGCTCTGCGTCTTGACAAATATCATAGCAACTTGAAAGGTGTTAAAGTGTTAGACATATATAGTATATCAGGAACTTGTCAAGGTGCTCACATTGGGCTGGTCTTTCATCATAAAACACACTTTCAGGATTCCTAGTTTCAACACAACACGAGTAAGAATCGTATGGATCTTCAATGAGAACCCTTTGGTGACAATAATCTACATTCGGATCCATGCAGCCACCATGTTGAAGGTGTTCCCCATTCAAATGTCATGGCCACATGACATTCGAGGTTTCGGAATGAAGCGCCACTTGATGAAGGCTTCTGACATGCCTGGTGGTCTTTGGTTTCTCAGGATCGAGTTCCCTGGAAAAACAAACGCTGTAAAGTCGTTTGGTGCAAGCTCCGTAGTAACGTAGTACCACAAGGACAACATATCAAATGCCTACAAAGCTGGACCAACATCAGAGTACTGCAAGATCCAAAAGGTCGAAGGGCAAAGGTGAAACAACATGGATCAACAGTAGAGTACAGCTAGGTCCTCCAGTAGAGAGGTTACAACAAGGGTACCCTTTTTTTTCTGTAGTCTATCTTAGTAGGGGAACCCTCCCAGCAAAACGGGTAAAAGGGCACTACCGGGGGACCTAGACAGGGTCAAAAGGTCAACAAGTCGAACAACGTGGGCCAGCACCAAACCAAGTCAACCGCTCTCTGCTCGACTCCCATGGCGCCAATGTCCCCTGGAACCTAAGTGGAAGCTATTGGAAAGCATCAGTAAAAATTGCAATTCGAACTTGCGAATGAAACCGACTTATTTCCCCCCCCTACAAAACATGTCCATTGCTTCAAATTGCACTATAGTGGGCATCAAATTGCAATTATAGTGGGCAGCAATCAGCTCCTCAATGTTGGCTCACCCATTTCCTGGTTGAACAATGTTGAAATCTCTTTGAATGAGTTCTAATTGTACCAATTAGGTGAGGTATGCAAACTGACTGTTACCCACTTGCAATGGAAACCATGGACATGCTTAAGGGGAAA